AATCTCCTAGATTGGAAAAGACCTGTAAGATCATCTAGTCCAACCATCAACCTAACACTGACAACCCACCACTAAACCATGTCCCTGAGCACTATATCTACACGACCTTTAAATCCCTCCAGGGATGGGGACTCCACCACTGCCCTGGGTAACGCCTTCCAATGCCTGATGACCCTTTCAGTGAAGAAATTCTTCCTAATATTCAATCTAAACTTCCCTTGGCGCAACCTGAAGCCATTTCCTCTTGTTCTATCACCTATTACTTAACAGAACAGGTCAACTCCCACCCCTCTGCAATCTCCTTTCAGGGCGCTGTAGAGAGTGAGAAGGTCTCCCCTCAGCCTCCTCTTCTCCAGGCTGAACACCCCCAGGTCCCTCAGCCGCTCCTCATAAGACGTGTGCTCCAGACCCCTCACCAGCTCCGTTGCCCTTTGTTGGACACGCTCCAGCGCCTCAATGTCCTTCTTGTGGTGAGGGGCCCAAAACTGAACACAGTACTCAAGATGCAGCCTCACCAGTTCCAAGTACAGGGGTAAAATCACCTCCCTGGTCCTACTGGCTACACTATTCCTGATACAGGCCAGGATGCTGTTGGCCTTCTTGGCCACCTGGGCACACTGCTGGCTCATGTTCAGCTGGAACATCTCATTAAAGTAGTGTAGTTCCTTCAATATCTTGTTAAAGTAGTTTAGTTCCTTGAAAAAAACAGGATCCTCAGGGACGAGGGTTCTTTGGGACAGGATGCATGGGGATGAGGATCCATTGGGATAGGGATTCTTCGGGACAGGGATCCTTGGGGAGTGAGAGCCTTGCGGATGGAGACCTCAAGGGTGGGGACCCTGGGGACAGGGGTCCTTGGGGAAGGCGATCCTCAGCGACAGGGAACCTTGGGGACGGGGGCCCTCGGAGCTGGGGATAGTTTGGGACACAGGGGATGAGGGTCCTCAGGGAGATGGGGATCTGACAGGATCCTCAGGGACGAGGGTTCTTTGGGACAGGATGCATGGGGATGAGGATCCATTGGGATAGGGATCCTTTGGGACTGCGATCCTTGGGGAGTGAGAGCCTTGCGGATGGAGACCTTAAGGGTGGGGACCCTGGGGACAGGGGTCCTCGGGGAAGGCGATCCTCAGCGACAGGGAACCTTGGGGACGGGGGCCCTCGGAGACTGGGATAGTTTGGGACACAGACCCTTGGGGATGAGGATCCTCGGGCAGAGGGATGCTTCGAGGCAGAGTCCTCGGGGACAGGGACCCGCGGGGACAGACGTCCGTGGGGACAAGGCTCGGTGGGGACAGTTACCCGTGGGGACAGGGCTCGGTGCGGCCGGGGCCCGGTGGGGCCGGGGCGGGCGGGCCCGGGCAGGGCGGCCGTGGCCGTGAC